AAGAAGAAAAAAAGAAAAAAAGAAAATGCAGCTTGGACATTCCCAGGCTGGGAAATATAGTGGAGAGTGAGAAGGGGAAGAGAGGAGGGCTGTTTTCACGCGCTGAGATCTTACATGAAGGAAGATTTGAAGAGGTTGGGGTGGGGTGGGGGGGAGAGACATCACTTGAAGGAGGCTAATGGAGACTGTGTGATAAGGACCGAGAGGAGAAAGTTTTCTTGCGGAGAATGCGGAGAGGAAGCAAATGCAGGAAAGGACCTGAGGACTATGTAGGAATTCCTGACTGAAGTCATGGTAAGTCCCTCTTTCTGAAGCTATGGGGAAGTTTTGTCTAAAGCGGAAAATAATGTAACTTTTTCTAATGAGGAAAAGACACTGTTACTGTTCAGGCTTTACCCATGTATCACAGAACACTTTAAAACTCCTTCAGATAGCTACTCAAAGTGTCCTCAGCTCTGTTTTCTTTCCCTTTTTTTAAGTGAAAGGCTGTTAATGGGTTTTATGTGTTTTTATGCATTTACTTTAAAGTGTGTTTGCATATTCTTGATACTTTTCCATGTGCTTAAAAAAAATCACTATATGTGTGACTTTAATCATCAACTCCTCATGTAGGCATGCATTTGATTTGGGAAAGGAGTTTAGCCAGCAGTTATAACTCTCAATTTGCAGCTCGCGGAGTTGTCAAATCCCAGTGGCAGCAAATTACAATGACACGATTTAAGTTGTGTGACGTTTGGTGATTTTTGTGGTCGACTTGCAGATGGAGTCAGGGGCTTCACAAAAACAAAAAGAGCTCTCTGTTGCATCTCCAGGGATTTTATTTACCCTCCCCACCCACTCGTGGTCTGATCAGTGATATATACACAGGCAGAGAGTCAGGCAGACACATGCACACACACACAAACACACACACACACACGAGAAGATCAAATCAAGAGGGAAAGAAATGAACAAAGGAAGATTTAGATCATATTCACGCTTCTGTGTTTTAGGCAGGGTGGAGCAGTTTGGCAGGAAGAGAGAAAGCGGAGAGAGAGAGAGGGAGAGCTGGAGTGGGAACGACTGGAATAAAAGAGGAGGGTAGGGTTACTTTTTATTTTAGGAGACTTGGACGGCAGCAACAGTGGTTTCGGTGATGCCGCATTTTCCACATTGGACCTGGGAGAAAAGGGGAGAGAGAGGGAGAGAAAGAGAGAGAGAGAGAAAGGAGGAACAAGGGATGGCATGGACTTAAGGGAAGGAATAACATGTGCAGTACAGTTTCATCTTCCTCAGTAACCAGTTGGGAAAGTTTAGGGGTCGAAAACAGTAACAGATGTACACAGAGGGACACATATAATCACAGCAAAGTCATACTGCGCGTGCACAGAAATGAAACTTTTCCTAGGCTCAAAGGAGTGGATGTAACAGAGCGGTGTAAGCTGTAGGAGCAAACAAACAACCCTCCAAACAACATGTGTCCAAAACACTTAACACACGGGGAATGAATGCGTGCATACACACTTGCTCGGGGACAAACATGGCTTCTAACACATGCACATAGGTGTTAAAATGCATCAGCAGACAGTTATTCACACAGAGTCATTCAGCTCAGTGACATACACAACAGTGCCCTTTTGCCAAGATGTGGCAGAGGGTATTTCCATTCCCTCTGTCTGGGGCGCTCTGATTTTGAAACACTAATGGGATGTACCAGTCCTCAAGTCTGGCCAGGGACTATTATTAAGAAAAAGTATGATGGAAGGTATTGCAAACAATTCTCTGTGTTTGTTTTAACCTGCTTGGAGTACCAGGCGGGTGGGGATAACAGCGCCCGAAACAATCCAGACAGGGTCAGCGACATTGTCAGTCATAGGATTCTTTCTTTAACTGAGTTTCCTGTGATTGTCAAGAGTCTCTGACATGTGCAGTGCATGCAGACCAAGGATGGCAACTCCTCAGTGCAGCTGAACTTGCTGCTTCTGGCCATTTTTTATTGGCTTTTTTATTAGGCATCCACACAGCTTCTTTGTTTTTAATTTGCATTTCATCATTGTTTTTTTTATCTTATTTTCCCCTATAATCCAGATTATAGCTATTAACATAATGTTGGTAGTGACCGGACTATGTAGTTCATCTATGCTTATGGAGCATTTTACCATCTTTCAGCTCACTGTTTTGGTTTTAAGGCCCACAACTTTGTTTTAGTCTCACTGC